ATGTACGAAAGCAAACATTTTGCTTTCTATTCTGTCTCCATTCACTGGAACATGATTCCATATTTTAAAATTAAATATCTCTAAATTTTTGGCTACGTATAAACTTTTACTAAATACAGCTATATAAACTGGAGCATTGTATAAAAAGTTAGACTTCGTAATTTTTCCAGAACTAATTTTTTGATTTTAAGTGCCAAACATCAAACGAAAACTTCGCTGACAACGTGTGTTAACGAGAAATAAAAATCAATATTAATTCTGCCACGACCGCATCTTATTTCATCACCATGACTTTCAGGTATTTCAGCAGTTTGCTTCAACATCTGCAGCTATCAACGATTTTCCAATTTTTTTACATTTCGCTCTCTCTCTCTCTATATATATATATCATAAGAAATATACTATATATATTATATATATATATATGTATATCATATGAAGTAGTGTAAAAAGATATATGAGTAAAACGATCTTAGCATTCCTTCCCCCCCCCTCTCAGCATTTTCAAGTAACAAACGCATTTCTTTGTGGCTAACTCATTTTATCCTTTTGTGTATTAGAAAATGTATCTATATACTATCCATAATCATTAGTAGTAATTATAAGAAACTGGCTTCAACTTACTAATTTTTAAACAATTATGTGTATGAAACACATCTTACGCACAACATCCTTTGGAGGCTTTATATCTTCCATAGTCAATCTCTTGTTAGTTCGATTTGGACCACCTAGATATATTTACTGCATTACACGGGCTGAAAACCGTATAACATAACTCAAAGTATAGCACAGCAGTCTTCAATCACTGAAGAATTTCATAGTCTCAGTGGAGAATACGATCAGCCTCTTATTTACCTGCTAAGTATTTAGTTTTAATTTGTGAATATAAAAAACTACTTTTATTCAAGTTTTGATGGTTATCAAAATTTACTTTTTTTGTTTAATTTATAAAATAATCTAAATTAAAATTAATGTATATGTATTTTTCGAGTTTTGAAAAGGAGGATTGCAATAATCATCTGGCAGTGGTGAAAGGGATGCAGGGAGCGAAAAACACTGGCTATAATAAAATGAAATTAGGAAATAAATCTTAATCTATTTCAAATACTTACTTACAAATTAATGTGACTTTTAACACTGCGAAACATATTTTACTATTTTTAAAGAATCAGGTTTAAAACCATTACGTGCTACTCTTAATACGTCTTCACGTTGAGAATCAATAAGTAAGTTTCTATATCAGCTGCTCATTCACTTAAAAAAATGCAAAAATGTAAAAGTTTCTGTGCACATTTTTATACAATCTTAAATTTTTTAAACGCTAACTTTCGAAAATTCAATATATCTCTTCTTTTTTTCTTTAAAAGTAACCTCCAAAAATTCATCAAATAGGTTTGCATTATCGTACCCAAGCACTGCAAGTTTTGCTAAAAGCCGCCGTTTATACATTTTTGGTGTTTTTTATAAGTAACAAACAATTTTTAAAGCTTCTCAAATCTTGAAATCTACTTTTGACATTCTTGGATGAGGCACTTGAATGATTTGAAATTAGTGTAACTTTCCGGAAATATTTGAATACCACCTTATGTAGCTTTCGTTATGTTTGGAAAATTATGCAATACTTATTTTTGTATTTCCTCGGAATTCTTATCTTGTCTTCAAAGCAAGTATGATCAGTATTACATTTCCTTCAGATGGGTAGATCTTATTTCCCCGGTCAAATTTAAGGCACTTCAGGTATCCACGTAAGGAGCCTCGCCAAAGTAGTGTGCTGCGCACATGGAGATAGGAAAGGAAAGAGGGGCCAGTCGGCACTAGAAGTGAAGCACTACTTTGAAGCTTGGGTCACCAGATGGGGTGTTCTTTGTTTACATTCAGAAGCTCGCTTGACACGGTTCTGGTAGTATTTCGACACACGACAGTTCCATACAAATCGAAAAAGGGACACTTTCGCATGAAAGAAACATTCATAGTGGGATGGTGTGTGTGTGATTATGGCAAAGCCTCGAGGGCTATCTCCCTAAGAGGAGGGATGCCTTCGTGGAGGACTTTCTAAGGGAAACTGGCTCGTATACACGTTACACATGGGGAAAACCACGAAAACGCCCATGCAGCCAGCCCGTTCGCGGGATTCGAACCTCGGACCGAACTACCAGTGTTCAGCGACTTTACCGCTCGGCCGCTGGTGGGCCATAGTGTGATGGATAATAGCAATTTGTATAGTTTAGTGACATTTACGCAAAAATCACATCTTGGTTATTTTTCGATAATTAACAACAGCGCGATTTTGATTATAAATTTGTTTTATAAAATTCTAAGCTGTTGAACTACAAAAATATAGATTTTAAGAAAAATGTTATGCTTAAAGAATGAAAAATACCTTACGGTACATTTAAAATTGTATACGTTTCTCGATACCCTTGATAGAGTATTCGCTACTTTTATTTTATTTTCCAAACGCCAAAATGTTTTAAATAAAAGACATTTTTTTCACATCCATATATTATTGTTGCATATTATTGCAAAAAGCATGTATCTGCCTTTGACAAAATACATAAATATTCATTAAATTATTTATAAATAAATGTATTTGAAATGAAGAATTTATTCACTTATAAACAACTGTGAAAGTACTGTGAAGAAATCTAATCATTAAATGTATCTAATTTATAATGATTATAAATGTTATCTAAATATATAATAACCTCAATATTGAACTGTAAACATAAATTGAAATCCTGTTGACAAATACGTTATAAAACTATTTAAGCAAGAATTGTTCGTATTGGAAAGCAATCTGTTAAAAGGTATTGTAAAGCAAATGCTATGAGATGCGCACTTAAGAAAGTAATAAAGAGTTTTGCAATATGTACTTTTGAAATGAAAGGTAAAAAAAAATCTGATAAGTATAATTAAAAGAATTATTCCCCTTACATTTTATAATAACTCAGTTACAAGTTTTAAATAATACTAAAAAAAATTTTTTTTTAAAAAAACTTATTTTATTCCCTTTCAGAAATGCTCAGAGAAAGTCAGGTACTGTTTAAAGTATTTCGCTAATTACTAATAATTCTCTAATTTAAAATGAACCGAATAGAGCATTAATTATAAATTGACTTACATTTTTTCGATTTAAAAGATGCCTCAGAAGCCAAAAAATCCTGTCATATTTAAGAAAAGTATTTTAGGAAGAAGCTCTATAAATAGAAAGAAATAATTCATAATTTTAATATTAATAATACAATAAACTTTGATCTTAATTTTTGTACCTTAACCGAATAAAATCGAATTACCTTAATTTTTTCCTAATGTAATTAACGAAAACTTGTGAAAATATTTCATTCAAATTAAACCATTCTGATAAAACTGTCCTGTGAAAATTTAATTCCGTTCAGAATGAAATGTTGTTTAAAAATATGTTGTTTTCATATACTTAGGACTCTGAAGTGTTGTAGAAAAAGAAAATATATACATTTATATGTATATTTACGACGTAATTACAAAATATTTACATCCGAACGCGTCAAATCCCATTGAACTCAATGGTAAATGACCCAATGTTTTGGTCACCACGTAGAGATCGCCGGTGCTTCAGAGCAGGGTACGGGAGAAACTTGTTTAGGGCAACTCCATCTTACTTCCTACCTCCATGGTGAATGTATATATAAAAGGAATTAAGAATTTTCGTTTTAGAACAATTATAGAATAAAATAAACAAGTTTTTACAAAATAAACTTTTATTTATGACTCGTAAAATTATTAATGAATTGAAATGAGAAAAATAATGTATTATATAATTTACTGGGAACACGTGATTAAAAAATTCTCTTAAAAAAAATTTCGACAAATTTATATCATGAATAACAAACGTGCGGTTCTCTTTATAAATTTATAAATCTTATACTTTTGACTATGCGAATCGATATTTCGATTACCCCCAAAAGCAACAGCACCTGCCAAAGTGCTAGTCATAAACTGGAGAAGAATGCCAGGGAGAGGCAACGTAGATTTAACTCTCGAGCAGATCTCCAGAAAGATCAGGGTGCCAGATGTTAGTTATTGAAGTACCTTCCTTAGGTAGGGTATCAGCTATTTCATTACCACTGAGGCCAGTATTTGAAAGGATCCATTGCAGATATACATCATGATGAGAAGAGAGTTTTTGCAGCAAACCTAAAACTAGAAAGTGAAGTTTTACCACAGTTTTTTGCAGATGCTAGATAGAACTGCGACTGTCAGTCAAACTCCAGATGTCTTTGTAGGTAGTGCAACTCCTGTTCTTCTGTAACCAATCCATTCAGTTGATGTCGCACTGTATGACTGCTGTGTATTTTCAACTGCAGACTTGCTGTCTGCTTGTCTACTTTACGTCGAAGAAATGAAAAAATGCATTGATATTTGACCTGAAGGATGCTTTAAATAATGGGTTCTAGAATAATTTCAAAATCCTTTAAAAGAAAGAACTACAATATAATTTTACTAGAAGTATGTTGTAGATAAAGAACCTCGGTTTGAAGGAATACTTGTTTCAACATTAATTAAAAGAACTTATGGCCTCTGCCCCTTTATAATACTTCTAAGTGTATAGTTTTAGAAATTTCCTTTACCTTACGAGCATCATAAATAGGTATTTCGCAGATGTAAGTGTATTGCCCATTATTTTAAACTATCATTAGATAAAAAATTTACACAGTAACGGAACTAAGTCATAATCACGAGGAACATCATATTTCGAGAGATCCCCAAAAAATTAATTAATTTTTAGAAAACATTGAGCATATCATGTGTCTTATAATTAAGGCACAAAATTTCAGGTAAGGTAAGCCGGCCATTTCATTAATCTGTCTCTGAAATTGTAACCACGTAAAATATGAAGAGATGTATCTGCAAATTACTATTATTGTGTCTTAAATTAAATCATACTCTTACGTTATTAATGTGCATTTTATTATATTTCCTCCCTAATAGCGTGTTAACGTATTATTGTCTTTCCTTTTTAGTATTCCATTTAATGCTCAAAAATGGGATCTCAATGCCAAAGAAGACGCTCGAATCAGGTAAGTATTTCATTTCATGGTTCAGAAACCCCTTTTTATTGAAATACATGTTTTGGATATAATTAACTCCCTATTATACATAGGAATTATCCTTTTTGTGGGTTTGTCATCCATCATCTTTCCAAAAAAATTTCAGGTCGATACACGAAGAACGTCAAAAACTCACAATTTTTGACGCAGTGAACTTCATTCCTAAGGTTAAATACAGTGCCTAAATTAAAAAAAAAAATTGTGCAACTAATTGTTATTTTTTTTAAAGAAACTAATTTGTGATACGTAAGTATTTTTAAAGTATGGGAAAGTTCAACGTGGTTAAGATGTCGGTTTCCTCCTCTCCAATTAGGGAAACTTAACAGCAACATGCCATGTAAAATTATTTTTGGTGGTCTAGCATTTGAAGATGGATGTGAATAAAACATAAACGTGTGCTTGAAGAAAAACACGAAGAATGAAACTATGTAATGAAAATGTTAAAATTTTATAAGATCAAACTATTCTAAACCTAATATACTAAAAGGAGCTTGACGTAGCAATTAACAGAGAAGAATGCAAAGGAAAGAAAGTGAAACATTAAAAATACTCCTGATGAGAGAGTGGAATGTATACACAAGCTAGACTGTATGAATGAAGATAACCTCTGCTATGTAAAATAAACGTAGATTACTTTTTTTTCTAAATACATAGCGCCCCACCAGTAGCCGAGTGGTTAAGACCGCTGAATACTGGGAATTTGCCCAGAGTTCCATCCTAGGTGAAAGGGCTGGCTGCACAGTAGGTCTTCGTGGTTTTCTCTATGAGTAGCATGAATACAAGTCAGTTTCCCTTACAAAGACCTACATGAAGGTTGACAGCCCTTCAGTTCTTTTCCATATTCTAATAACCTAATCATCTAAACACTAACGGTTCTATCCACAGAAGTTAAATATTTTGTCTGTCTAATTTCATCGCTAGGATTGTTTAACTACTGCATACAAGCTAAACCTCAAGCGTAAAATTTTATAAAGTTTATTAGACACGATATGTCAATGTCATAAAACTAAAATTAATAACGATAACACGATTTGTGAATTTTATAAAATTAAAATTGATAACCACTAAAATCCAGGTATTCTTTCTCATCAGTCTTTACAACAACGGGCTGCTTTATGCTACGCAAGCATTGCGATATATTTACAACGATTAGGCTTTTTCTAGTTAACAAAGCTGGACAATTTCCTTAAAACTATTGACAAATCTAGAGACCTGTCTTTTTTTTTTTTTTTTTTTTTTTTTTTCGGAATTCTTACGTTTAAATTTCACATCGCACATGCATAAGACATTTATATGACTTCAAAGCTTTGAATAAAAGATCTTCATGCTGAATTACGTAATCATAGAACTTGCAGCAACTTCTTTGTTAAATACTAATATGTTTGTTAATACTAAATATACATTTCGTAATTGTCTGAATTGTTGAGATATGTAATCGATTTCTTTCCTCCTTCCATTGCGAATTCATAAGAAAAAAACACTTTTTTTCGTTTGCATTGTAATTATCAGAAAGCTGAAGAAGAGTTAACATAGTTTTAATAGCTCTAGCAACTCTTAATACTATTCTGAACATGTATACCATTTAAAGAAATGAATCCACTTTTTCTGAGACGATTTCATACTCCAGCTATTTTATTGTTGCTGAGTTCTGACTCATCTAACTTCTTCAGAAAACAAAATTGATCAAAGAATTTAGAATCATCTTTTAGAAGTATCTAGAATAAAACACGAAAACACGGAGCCAGACCACCAGTTGTGCTCAAGAAAGTTAATATTTTAGTAAGCGAAAGATTGGCATTGCCATGAAGAAAGTAGATTCTAACAACCGCAAAATTTTAGGAGAAAACAATTTTTCTTTTTAAAACACAGGAACGAAGCATCTAGCTCATTTCTTATCCCATATGACAAATTTTCTTTTAAAAAGGGAAATCCGGAACAATAAAATGTCCCCAAAACTTTATCTCCAGACAATGAATGCTTCAGCAAAACTCGGAATGTCTAGAAGTTAATTTCTTAATGTTTGCTGAGCTGAACCATAGCTTCTCGGTATCGTTTTCACAAGCGACCGCCATACGCCCGCCAGCGCAATTACTTAACAAGCTCCAGTAAGCTCATGAATGGGATTACATTCTACTTTTAACTCACTCCGCTTGGAGTATAATTTTCGTAAACCACTGCTATAAGCCAGCATCACAACAAGCGAAGGAACGTATGATCGAAATTAACTTAATAATTAGTAAAACTTAAATCATGAGTGCCGCAACGTACCGCGTTATTTATCTTATCTAAAAGAATAACAACATGCCTGTCCCTTCCCTTCCCCCCTGCCAAAAAAAAAAGAATATTTCTAGAAGAAAACTTGAAAAATTTATCTATGGTTTCATATAATATTGATTTAAATTCATTTTAGACAATATACTAAATACTGCGCATTCGAAACATCAAAGTTTTACTTTTTTTTTTTTTTTTTTTTTTTTTTAATTTAAAACATTTTTTTCCCCATATACATGTATTTATAACAGTGTATGTAGTACAATGCGATTAATTTTTAAAAAGCTAATTTTGGGTTGTCTGTTTTTTCAATTATCAATGCAATAATTAACATGGCTAAATAAGTTATCTGCTTTAGCACTACAAGAAACACGCACCATTGTTAATTAAAAAAAAAAGGCGTGCGAACTGTAAAAACTGTCAAAACTTTTTAATATTGAGAATTGTGGCTATAAATACAGCAAACAGACTAAATTTAAGTAAAAATAAAATAAAAATTAACGAAACGTTTACGTTGCAATCATTGGGAGCCAAACTGCGTACTTTCACGACTTAATTTCTAAAATTAGAAGTGCTAGAATTCTCTACCTTTCTGGAGCATTTAACAAAAATAATTAAGGTAATAAATAAAGTGATAAATTATAACAAATTAAATAATTAACAAAAAATTTTAAATAAAATAATAAAAAATTACAAAAATTAAATATATGAAATGGATTAAATAAAAAGTTATTAATGTATTATTTTTATTATTATTTCCTTATTAAGTCATCTAAAATTTATAAATTCAGTTTCAATAATTGACACATCTGATGCAAATGAAATTGACTTTTGAAAATGAAATTGCCAAAAATGTCTGATTTGAAAGAATTTATAGTCTAATCTTTATAGTCTGTAAAAATTGCTTCCTTTATTACTTATAAAACGTTTAAAGACGCAATTTTTCAATCCCATAACTATTTCCCTTTCTGAAAGGGAATCATTCTGATATAAGAGGAGGTCCTTTTCATCCTACATTGACTAAGGTTACTTTATACATTTCTAGTGAAAATAAGGCAAAAATTTAGTAGCTTATTGCTTAGTTTATTTGCTCATAATCATTCTTAATTACTACAAAACTGATTTTTAGTACTTACTAAATAGTATAGAAATATTATACTTAGTAGTTAATAAAACTAGTATGAGTAGTTTAATAGAATTGCTTTCTGGCACTAAATATAATTCATTAAATAAGGTACCTGAACTCATTTGACTATGGATTCTGGAGTACACGCGTTGAAAACAATATGTCTCAGATATTAGAATATACCACCAGAGCCGGATTGAGTTGGACTTGGATTGAATTTAAGCTCTATTATATTCTATAGTAAGCCGAAAAGAGTCAAAGAGTCAGGAATGATAGTCATTTCGAAAAAAACATTTAGAAAAAAAAAAATTAAGGATTGCTAAAATAAAAAAAGAAAAACATCTAGCGCCATCTATTGAAACAAAAGGGAAAGAAAAGCCGAAATGAATCCTAAATTAAAACCGATAAGGGAAAAAGATTAGAATCCCTAATCAAACATGAAGGCTTCATGGATAAGAAAAGCAGTAATTAAAATAATAATAATAATTAAAATTAAAAAAGAAAATCTGGAAGGTTTCAGATTTTAGAGGGGCGTTTTTTTTAACATTTTGTCTGTTACCTTTATTAAAGATCAAGTTCTTCGCACTTAAACCATAAAATGCAGTTCAAGAGCAATACCGCAAAATAGTTTTAAATTGAGCATACCTTTAGAATTTCTGATACAGAGTCCGGCGCGTTGGAGATAAAAATGTTTTTTCTGCACAACGTTGCCATTGCTCACTTTGAAACCCTTCAGTTTGTTAATCAAAAATTCGTTAAAGTTTTACAAAATATGAAATCGATAATAAAACAAATTCTAAATTTCAAATTTGGGCTTCCACATGCCCATATTGGCAGTAGGATTACGTCATTCAAAATTCGATGGCTTTAGGTACCGTTGTTTTATCACAATGCGAGAAATATACATATATTTATGCAGATTTTTCATTATTTAATTTCTTCAAATATAATGCAAGACTAACATTTGGTGGCAACAGTTTGAAAAATGAAACGGACATTTATATTGAACCAACGCAAAATTGCAAAACAAAAACAATACACCTTCAGTGACAAAGCCCCTTTGAACTAAAAAAGAAAATCTGAAGGTTTTCAGATTTTCTTTTTTTCTTTTCAGATTTTAAATTACGTCCAAAGAGGCTTTTTTTTTTTAACACTTTGTCTGTTACCTTTATTTATTACGTATCATGTTCTTCGCATTTAAACAATAAAATTCAATTCAAGAGCAATATCGCAAAATAATTTTAAATTAAGCATATCTTTAGAATTTCCGATACTCAGTCTCACGCGCTGAAGATGAAAACGTTTTTTTCTGTACAGCGTTGCCATTGCTCGCATTGAAATTCTTGAGTTTGTTAATCATAAAACCGTTAAAAATTTACAAAATATGAAATCGATATTAAAACAAATTCCAGATTTCAAATTTGGGCTTCCAGATGCCCATGTTCGCAGTCGGCTTACGTCATTTAGAATTTGATGCCTCTAGGTACCGTTGTTTCATCACAATGCGAGAAACATACATACCTTTATGCAGATTCTTCATTATTTTATTTCTTTAAATATAATTCAGGTCGAT